GTAATTATTATAATTATCATATTAATATAAAATGATTTCTAAATTATCAAAATGTAAATGTTAAAGCGAATAAAGAACCTTCACACCTATGAAAAATTATAATTTTTTGTTAATATTAATAAAAAAAGACTTAATTATGCGCAAATTAAAATGATTTACGGTAGATTATCCCTACCATATCGGTCCATAATCCAAATTATTAGATTATAAGTATGAGACCAGAATTTTATCATGATCAATCGTAGATGCGTTGTTGATATTAGTGGATATATCAGAACAGACATCGTGCTCATTACACTTGTGTGTCTTTTTGTCTTTTTTTTGTGTCTTTTCATTTCCATTTGTTATTTCAGTGGAGTTTCACGTAACTCATACAATACATCTTACTTCTCAATCTTGTATGACTCGGCCAGTGAAGGTATTTCAAGTGGGTATAATCCATATAATGCATGTATATGTAGATATATAATAGATATAAAATATATATATATTATATATTATATAATTCATGCCGAACTATAGTGTGCTTGGAATTGCAATGTTTATGATTATAGGATCCCAAATGATAAGCGATATCTTTTATTTTTATTATTTGTATAGATATTTGATTTACAACATAATATCTAGAAATACAAACTGACATACCGTATCTCAATACTTAATATATATACATATTTTAAAATGTATTAGAAGCAGTGGCGTATTTACGGGATGATCTGGATGATAAATCACCCCCCCAGTACCTTTTTTTTATTCATTTCACTTTTCTTATTTTTCTTTTAAATGCTTGAGCCGTAAGTCCGTAATGGATTCTTAGTATTTCTTAGTATTCCATCAGTTCGTTATCAATAGAAGTTAATAATAGACATAGACAGTTGTAGACAATATAGTTATTATTAGTTTCAAGAAAATCGTGAACATTAGATAATTATGATGAACTATTATTATTACTATAGTTTAATATCCTAATGTTCATGGTTAGTTTATATATCTATTAATCAATTATATCTGTGATTATTTAATTTATACTCTATTAGCGATAGTGCGTAAACCATGTGTTCAGTGTTCACATTTGCTCTCAGTCCTTTCGTGTAATCTTGTCTCGATTAAAATTAACCTATCGGTGAACAGAATTTTGACATTATTTTGTGATCTAACTTATACTTATTATAAAAATAAATGTATAATATTATTAATATTGGTATAGTTTTAAATAAAATCTTGTTATATAAAAGTGCATTTTACGGAAACTGGAAAAGTATGATAACAAAATAATTCTAGAAGATATTTTCCCTTTGGCTCCAAATGTACAAAATAGTTATGGTTATATCACCTCCTAAAAAAAATCCTAGATACGCCACTGATTAAAAGAAACATGTTTATAGTAATTCGTCTAGATACACATGTACTTCAAATCCATTACAATCAAACTGAATCAAATTTAACTTTTATTTTTGATTTAAATTATGATCTGACAAAACTGTATAATTTTTGATTGATTTATATTATATTGCGTGCTTAGAGTGACTAAGAGTGACTGATTCTGAAATACAATGGACAAATCCGAAAAAAATATTAGCTGTGATAACGAAGTTGACGAACAACCGATAAATAAAAAACGACCATATAAACTAGATATCGTTTGGCTCAACGTTATATTGTGTTCAATTGTTCATTTAAGTGCCCTGTATGGCGTTTATTTAGCAATAACTTCCGCAAAATTGATTACAACTGTTTTTGGTATGTTAACGGGTTGTATATAATAATATAATAATAACCAATGCGTGATTTGAGTATTTTATTTTTTATTTTAGCAATTTGTTTGTACCAAATAACTGCGATTGGCGTCACTGCTGGATCACATAGACTTTATTCACATCGAGCATTCAAAGCCAAATGGCCTTTACGGTTAATAATTATCGTACTTAATACAATAGCGTTTCAGGTGTCTATATAATAATTTTTCTACTTTTTGTCATTTTCTGCGTTGACGAATCTGTACTTTAAAATAAGTTCTATTTTTTTTTTAAAAAAAAAAAAAAAAACGATTTTCAGAATTCTGTATACGAATGGGCACGCGATCACAGACTACACCACAAGTATAGCGACACTGATGCAGATCCGCACAACTCAAAGAGAGGATTCTTTTTCTCACACGTCGGCTGGTTGATGTGTCGAAAACATCCGGACATCTTCGAAAAAGGTCGCGGTATTGACACGAGCGATTTGCTGGCCGATCCCATTGTCGCCTTTCAAAAGAAGTAAGTTTCCGTTTCCGTCGTGTACTACAATTTAGTAATGCTTTCTAATCGGTGTCATCACGCGCGTTCCCCAAGTACTTCTGGCCCCTAATCACGGTGGCTTGTTTCATCGTACCTACACTAATACCCGTGTATGGTTGGAATGAGACTTGGCGAAACTCTTGGTACGTCGCTGTGATGTTGCGGTACGCACTCACGCTGAATGGCATATGGTTCATCAACAGCCTCGCACATATGTTGGGTGACAAACCATACGACAGGTACGATTGCTATGGAGTTCATACTTGTTACAGCTTATTAATGAAAATGTTTAACTTGTAAACGGCCGGGGAAGTGTGTTGAGGAGAAACTACTCGTGACGTATTTGTAATCTCGAATGTATAGATTTCAAATGCAAAAATTGTGTATGTGTATTCTTCTTCTTTTTCTTGGGTTTTTCGGCCATCAAGATCATCCCGTCATACATCCAATCCTCCTGCCTTCCTTATCAACCACTCTTGCTTTCCAGTCCCGTCCTCCATTCAATGCTTCCACGTATTTTCTTATCATATCTTCCCACCTCAATCGGAGTCTTTTTAGTGGTCTCTTATCAACTAGATTTTCGTCATAACTATCCTTGTGAGATGGTTCGGGTTTCGCATATTACGTTTAGCCCAGTGTTAGGCAAGATAATTAAAAAAGAGTATCGGGATACAAGATACAAGATACAAGATACATTGTGAATGTAAAAATGATACAAGATACACGATACAGGTATCAAAGATACATTAATACTTTTATACTTCCAACAACTAATAACAACGCGGCGGCGTCGGCGTCCGTGTGTCCGTGCGTATTCGAGAAAATCAATTTTAAATAATATTAAATAATAAAATTTGAAATATGTAAACATATTTTAAAAATAATATCATTAAAATAGCTATTTTGATTTTTTTTTTAAGTATCAAAAAGAATTTTTTTTAAATGTACCGCAAACGGTAAATGACATTTAAAAAAAAAAAAAATTGAAAATGTTCAATGGAACTAAAGTTATTACAATTGTCAGTTCACCGTGAAACTTTTATATAATATAATTATATAAATACAGTATAATAAATAATAATAGATACATTACTTTCATATGCAGTCGAAAATTTGTAGTGAATTTAAAAGATCCAGAAAGTATTTTGTTTTCCTTTTTAACATATTGGCATGTCATACACAAACATTTTACAGTATAATCAGAACCATTTGTTCGTGAGACACAATTTTAAAGTATTTTCCATTCAATGATGGCTGAATTTTAATATTTTGTTCAGTAAAATATTCCAAAAAAAAAATATGAAAAAATAGAATATAAAGGAATCAAACATGAAAAAAATCGTAACCTTATATGTAATTACAAGTATTTTACTGACAGTGCGACAGAACAAATAAAATGGTACAGCAGTAATACGAGTAGTAAACTATAATTACTTATCTGTACTTTTGATTTTATTTTCTATTTGATGTGGAAAGACCTACAATTACAGCTATATCTATATATATAAAAAAAAAATACGAATAGATTTCAAATTTTATGATAACGAAAATTTGAGTTTAGTGCTTATCGTATGTCTGTAATTTGTACATAGGTAATGGTCATTCCGGCAACAATTTAATTTTCAAATTACCTTACAAGGTATAAAATAGTGTAATAAATGTTTTCGTTATCGTTAATTTCGGCTCGATCGCATCTGAACAATTATAATACAATCCATAACGAAATTATTTTTAATTCATTTTTTTTATTTCTTGGTACTATTTAGTACAAATGTTTACAATAATAGTATCTTGTATCTTTTGACAAAAAAAGATACATGATACTTGCATACAATTTATCATGATACATGATACTTGATACTTTAAAATTATGTATCATGATACAAGATACACTGTATCTTTGATACTGTTCAACCCTGGTCTAGCCCACTGAAGTCTTCGATTTCTGATTACGTTTAATATGTTTTCTTTCCGGAAAAGTATTTCCAGTCACTTTTTTTTTTTTGAGTTCCATTTTTCCGTTTCTCAGTCCTTTACTAGTCCCATAATCTTCTATAAGACTTTTCTTTCAAAAACTAGCGATTTACTTTCCTTATTACTTCTTAATGGCCATGTCTCAACCATTTAAGTGATAATTGGGCGTATTTAAGTTATATATAGCTGTTTCTTCGTTCTTGTCAATAGAGATCGTGATCCTAGTACTCGTATTTTTGTGATTTCATAGAAGCATTTATTTCCTGATAAGATTCTTGACGCTATTTATTTGTCTTTTTTTTCTGTTAAAATTGAGCCCAAATACTTAACTGGTTTGTTTTTGCTGAACTTATATCTACCAATTTTCAGGTGTCGAAAAACGGCCGCAAAATCTCTTATACTCGTAACCATGTATTCTGTTATTTCCTTATTTAATTGTAGTTCCACTTTATTTGCCTTTTCCTCCAATCGAATGAATAGTGATTTTAAATAATCGTGTGATTTGCTCATTAGTACCACATCATCCGTATATGTTTATTAGTGAAGAGAAAAATCTGGATTTACCGGAGTTCAAAAACTCATTTTAATTAGAATACAGAATTCCAAAATGTTAAACCCAAAATTCGGATATTAAAATCCGAAAATCTTGATTTGAAAAATCCAAAAAGTCGGATTTTTAATTTGAATTCTGAAAATCCTGATTTAATTCCAATCACTAATTTATATACATATGTGTAATTTATCTGATAAATGTTAACAAGTATTTTCAATGATAAATTTTATCATATAATTTATAATTTATTTAAGCAGATTTAATTTACGATTTCATTATCAATGATTTGTTATGAATCCTAACCAAGGGGATATAACACTTTTGGACACATTTCTGTTTTTTCCAGATTCATCAACCCGACGGAGAACAAGTTTGTGTCTGTTATGTCGGTTGGAGAGGGTTGGCACAATTACCATCACACGTTCCCTTGGGATTACAAGGCGGCCGAACTTGGTAACTACAAGTTTAACTTTACCACCGCGTTCATCGACTTTTTCGCCAAAATTGGATGGGCGTATGACTTGAAGACTGCGTCACCAGAGTTTGTGCGTAAACGCGCTGAACGCACGGGCCCCAATGGTCATTCAGGCAAACCGATCGCTCCGTGGGGCTGGAGCGACCAAGATTTACCGCAGTCGGACCGAAAAGGTGCAACAATTATTAACTGCAGTAAACGAACCCGAGGCGGATCTGAAATTTGTTTACGGTGGGGGAGAGGATGAATAAGAATTTTATTACTATTATTATACTCATAAGTGCAACTAGGGTTTTATTTTTGAGGAGGCTAATTTTTTTTTTACTATCACTTTGCTAAATTTGTATCTATACCAATTATGCGGAGGATAGATAATTTGAGGGGCTTAAGTTCCCCTTGCCCCTCCCCCAAATTGCACCTATGATTATATTATATATTATACATTAATATTAATAGTTTTGTTATATGTATAACAACAAAAAAGAAGAAACAATGAAATTTCAAAATAATTTCAAGAAATATGTTACCTATACAAAGATATACATGGTATTCGATGGTGAATATTTATTAACTATCTACATGATTGTACATCTAAATTAAATTATTAAATAAATCTATGATAGAAAAAATTCTCAAGGGTAGGGAGGACGATCGCATAGTGATTTAAAGTCGAAAAAACTGACCAAAAGTTAAATACATTTTTTATTTTTTATATTAATATTTATTATTATTTATTTATATTAATTTTGTAGCTTGTAATTACTACGATAACGTAACTATTCAAATCTCAAATTGTTATAAAAGTCTAGAAAATAAATAGGCATTAAAATTAAATGATATTAAGATTCTTAGTTACGTTAGCGTATGAAGGTACCTACTATCTAATTATATTCATAAGATAAAATAATTTGTTTTATTTATCATAGATTTATTTTATAATTTTATTTTTTATTTATTTAATTATTATTTTATTAATTTTATAGATTACATACACTTGTATTATTTAATCTATGAATTTAAAAATAAGTTAGGTTTTTTCTTGATTTTCTTAAGCAGGTTCTGGAAGAAGCTGAATCTATAATAGAATCTATTTATAATAATTTCTTAGATTATTATTTATTTATACATTATTTTTTATTAAATTATTTATTATCAATTAACATTAAATTATTAACGTCTGAAACAAAAGCGTACTTAAATAGTTATACTTAGTGTTATTGATTATTAAACTATTTTAACTTAACAATTTTCCGCCTCTATGCAAAATTAAATTTGCTCCTCAAATCCAGTAAAAAATAACTTCTACATATTAAAATATCCTTAAATAAATGTACGTGTAAAGAACACATTTAAAAAAATTACAAATGGATAATTTATAGAATTTACTTGTCAAATAATCGTTATAATATTTTTAACAATGATAATACAGTAATGCACTAAACTAACTATGCTTTGTGCGATTAATGCAATGATTCTCATCCTTTTCTCGTTCATGTTACCTTTAGCCAAAATAATAAATAATCTTAACTGTGTATTTTAGAATAATTCTTGAAAAACAAAAAAAAAAAAAAAACTACAGTACGCAGAAAAATAATAAATACACCTACAATTTATTTGAGTTGCCGGGATTAATAAGCATTGTCACTTAAAAGTAAGTTAAAATTTGCAAATTAAAAAAAAAAAAAAAAAAAAAAAGAGAAAAAATAATAATGATTTGTATGAAAACTGATGAGAAATTGGACCTTGGTGGTTTTTACAAAGTTGAGGAAGTCCAGGGTTAATGGTGAAAGATCAAGTCTCATATTGTCTTCTAGAGTTGTAGAGCTATAACACTACATATCTAGTGACTGCAAAATAACTAACTAACAATCTCGGTTAAATCAATAAGATAATCGATAATGCAGCGATTTCGCAAATCAAAATACTGCACGTATTTATCGGATCTAAATAATATAAAAAAATAAATATATAAATAATTTTATTTTTAATTATTTATTTATTATTTATATTTATATTTATTTATATTTAATTTATTATTTATATTATTTATAATTAATTAATAAATAAATAAATCACATTCGAAAAATATAATTAAAAAGTATTATTTTTAATGTTCCATAATAGTATAAAAACTAATAAGAATTACTGCAGTTGAAAATATTACTATAAAATTATATAGATGATACAGTAGATACAAAACATTAAAATAAATTAATATTTATTGACTTAATTAAAATAAAAACAAATAAGACAGTATAATGGATAGGGTCAATCAAAATATTTATTAAATCTCAATAAGGGAGTTATCTCAAAATTTTGGTCAGCTATTAATTATAAAACAATTTATTAGGTTACTAAATGAATTAGTACCTCAATTAATTTATTCACTATTTCATCATACTAAAAATATTTCTGAGATTAATAGAACTTACTTGGATATTTATTTTCCATGTTCAATTGTATGACTTCTATAATGTTACAATCAACACTTAAAAATTATACACTATTACACAGACATATATATAGAAAACGACATATATATTATAAGTAGAGTTATCACTAATCAATGGATATTTTTGTGTGTAGGCAGTGCTAGTCTTAGGCACTAGGTTGTAGAGGAACACAAATTTAAAATTATCATCGATTATGGAATGATTCTAATAATAATTTTATTCTTTAACCAATGATAATATGGAACTATTAATGTAATATAAATATATAGCCACTTTTCATGACAATGTAATTCATAGTAATATAATTCATGGACGGAATGGCTATTCAAGTAATAATCTTTAAACGGTCGACTACTTTTCCCAAGACTTATTTAGTTAATTAGACCTGTATTAGTTAATACCGTGATCATAATAATGTTCTTATCTAAAAATATAATACAAAATTCTTCGGAATCCTTTAGATTTTATTTTTGATATTTTTCTAAATTCCATTAATTTGTTATTGAACAAAAGATAACGATATACGCGGTATTAGACAAAAATATTTTTCTAATTTTGAAAATCAAAATTAACTTAATTGGGATACATGAAAAAATAATGCGTTAATTTTAAGTTAATCTGTAAGAAATTAAAATTAACTTTTAACTTATTAACTCGTCAATGCCCAGGCTTGATTTTATTACATAAAAACAAAACCAATATCCAACAACATTTTGTAGTCCTCTAAAATTTAATGTCCTATGTGGCCGCATAGTTCGTATTGCCTTAAATCCGCCCCTGATTCTAACCTATATACATGTGATTATGTTTTATATGACGAATTCTTAATCTATTATTACTGTATATGTGTCAATTTTAGTATAAATATTAATGTTGAACTATGAAGAGCAACCTACTTCGAGGTTTAATAATTTAATGATTAAAAATTATTTTATGCTAATTTATTAAATACTAATAATAATCATGGATTTATTTTTTTCTCTATTTTATTACATGTAATTGAAATTCATTCACATTTCTATATATACACAGTAACCTGACCTACAATCAAACTTTATGGGAAGAATGTTATCCATGTTTTATTGGTTGGTTTTTTTCCAATATTTTAATTTTTTAGCGAGTAATGAGTTTTTTTTAATTGCAATATTTTACATTCTCATAACTCGCTTGAAAATTAAAATACCGGGAAAAACTCACCAACAAAACTCAGATAATGATCTTCCTTTAAAGGATTATTATATGTAGGTCTAGTTACTCTAGTGTTAAATCTAACATTACTACATATGAACTATTAAACGAAAATTCGCTATGCTGTAAGATTGTTAAGATTGTCAATTGTAAGTTGAAGACTATGAGTGCGAATTTGGTGTCAAAAAACTCATACGTTTATTTGCAAGATAAGATTTAATATTTTTGAAATATATGAATGAATGATTATATTTCCATTTCTATTCATAAGGAATTAATTAACTTATATTTTAAATGTTTAACCATGGAAGTTAGGGCTCATAGAAAATCTTTTTTTCATTTATAATGTAATTATTTATTTTTTGTTTATGTATTGGTTATTTTTGGTCATAAGGAAGGAATTTAATTCCTACATTTTTTTTTCTTACAAATTTTTGACTTAATTTCTTAAATTAAATAATGTTATTTTGTATCTATAGATGTTGTTATTGAACAAATCTTGCCGACTTCAGCGTATTTAATATTTGCAAATGTTTCATATGATGTTATAATATAATGCTGCTAAATGATTCACTCAATATACTCACTGTTTTTTACAGAGGGTAATAGATAAAAAAATTATATTAAAATTTTATAATGTATAATTTAAACTATATTATTTTATTTTTTATTTTTTTATACTGTATCTATCACTGAAAAGTACTTATAAATTAACTAAATTATAAGTGTGGAAATAATACACAGCGACAGATAATAACACTGTCGAATTTAATACATTTACCGCAGCGGTTACTATTATTTACATGGACTACATTATCATATTTGATTTATATGGCATTTGATTCGACACAATGCATATTATTATAATACTATTCCGGTATCGCTCGCATGCGAAAATAACAGTGCTGTAAATAAATATAGATCTCTTGTTTTTGAACAAAAAAATACTAACAAGGTCGATATTACATAACACACCATTCCTTCCGGACGGCGATGTGTAAATTAATATACTTTTAATAATTAGTGAGTATCGTTTGTACATGTTTTAATAGAATATTTAATTTAAATTATATAAGCTCATAAAATGACTGGCAGCCATTTTATCAATACAACGTATGAGTGTCACATATTTTCACCAGATACTATATTAAGTTTTTTCTTTAGGTAGGGTTGCCAACTTTCAAATTGTAAAATATGGTACAATTATTTTTTATATCTATTTTATACTGTAACTTAATAAGCAATATAATCATTATAATGGTTAGGTACTAACAAAAAATATTTTATTATTTTTTATATTTTTTATATTTTTTTTGTGTATATTCTTATTTTTAACACCTTTATCTAATTAGCTTTCTTGATAATCTTGATTTAGATAATTTAACAATAAATCATGTGAATTAATAATAAACACATATTTAAAAAATAAGAATAATTAACGAAAATATGTTTATTGTTAATAGTTTCTTCGAACAATATACACATATAAACATTTGGTATTGAGAAAAATCATCACTTGAAAACAATAATAATGCATATTTTAGATGTAAACTACCTAGGATGTTTCTATGAAAGTATATATTTAAATGATATTTCTTACGACTTTAATTTGCTTTTATATTTCAACATTATATACAATTACTCTATATACTCTGTTACTTTATATTAATATTATTTAATAATATTATATATATTGTATATACAAGTATATCGTTTATTTGTAAATAATTAATTGATAATTTATTATAATTTAATATATATTTATAATATACATTGTATCTAAGAAATGATACACTGCATTCTAGTAAAATATATTGAATACATAAAACTTTAAGGTTTTAGCATTAAAAACATGTTGTCGAATAATATTTTAAATATAATAGATTAGCGGTTAGATAAACATATAATCAATAATAGTATTCAAACATTTTGCATTAAAATATAATTCTGCGAAATAAAATTGAAAAAAACGACTTAAATAAAATTTTTAATTCAAAGATGGAAAAAATTTGTTGAAAATGAGGTAAAGTGAAACACTTAATTAATAATTAATAAAACTCGATTATCTTCTTGACACTAAAAATGTATTTACCTCCTATTGCATAAGTATTTGCTGATGATTTTTTTGTATACTATGGATAATACAGTGTGTAGGTGTTCGTGTATTTTCTGATTTATTTTCTTCGTGTTTTGACAAAAGCCTTTATAATATTGATTTATATCAAAATTATACTTTATAAGACTATAC